TTAAAGAAGACGAAAAGCAAAAACAAAAAGGAGAGAAAAAACAACTAAACGCCTTGGTTTTGGTGGTGCTTGGCTAACACCAAGCTGTGGATGAGCGTTATTACATTCTCAAGACCAAGGTAACGATGACGACGGCTTAACAATGTCATAATTGCTTAATTTGATAAACGAAAAAAATAAAAACAACAACAACAAAAAGGAAAAGAAACATAAAACTATGACAACGAAAATGTGGAATCTAATAAAAGGCGACATAATCAAGACAATTAAAGAGGGGTGCCATCATAACGAAAAAATCCGCAGAAGATTAGGCTCGATTTTCTTATGGAAAAATATAGACACAGAAGCTGAGGCTCGAACATTTTCACCTATAAGATCAGATCCTATAGAAACAATAATAGCTTCAGCTTCAGTCTGAAGAGAAACATAGCATCCAACGAAGGTTAGACCCTGATTTTGTTTCTATGGAAAAACTAGCCTCAGAGGAAACTGAGGCCCCAATTTTTTTCTATACCCAAAAAAAGTCTCAGACAAAGCTGAGGCATTGATTTTTTCTATAAGAAAAAATAATAAAAAACTGAGCCATTGAATTTTTTTCTAAAAGAAATCGAAACCTCAGCTTCGTCTGAGTCTATTTTTTATAGAAAATAAATCAATCTCAGTCAAAATTAGACTCAGTGGAAGAAATTAGCCTCAGTCGGAGCTGAGGTATCAATTTTTTATTTAGAAGAAAACAACAGCCTTAGACAATGCTGCGGCTCCGATTTTTTTCTGTATGAAAAAATAGCGTCATATTAAACTGAGGCCCCGAACTTTTTTTCTATGCGTAAAAATAGCCTCATACGAAGCTGAGGCACCGTTTTTTCTATACGAAAAAATAGCCTCAAACACTAAGGCTCGAATATAGCCCCAGAAGAAGCTGAGGCTCGATTTTTTTCTACAGCAAAAATAGCCTCAGGCGAAGCTGAGGCATCGACGTTTTTTCTGTACGAAAAAAATAGACTTAGACGAGGCTGAGGCACCGAATTGTTTTCAATAGCAAAAAATCAGATAAAGTATAAGCCCGACTTTTTTCTTAGAAAAAAGAAAACAAAGTCTAAGCTGAGACCCCGATTTCTATGCGCAAAAATCAGTCTCAGATGAAGCTGAAACCCTGATTTGTTTTTCTATAAGCAAAAAAGATACCCTCAGAAGAAACTGATGCTCGATTTTTTTTAAAAGGAAAAAATCCTCAGATGAAGCTGAAGCTTGATTTTTTTCTGTAGAAATAAGCCATGGAAGAAGCTCAGCCCGTGATTATTTTCTATAGAAAATTATATTTCTCTGAAGAAAAAATAGTCTCAGAAAGAACCTGAGGATATTTCCTTTAAAATAAAATCAAGGCTTGATTCGGGTCTCAGTTCCTCAGTGGTCTCAGAAGCTGAGACCGAGGCTCCCTTCCGCTCGTCTATAGTGATTTAATTGAGATCGTATATAGACATTTCTCTCTCAGCTCGTCTCCATAGACCCGATCATCTTCCTCCGGTTAATTTATGTAAACACCTTTCCCTTCGTCTATAGGGACTCTCTTCGGATCGTGGTTAAAGACTTCTTCAGGTCGTCTATAGAGACGCATTTCAGCTCGTTTCTAGAGATTAACTTCAGATTGAATATGAATACTCATTTCCATCGTCGAAAGAGTCTCCCTTCAGCCCATCTATAGAGGTTCCCCTGGGCTCGTCCTTAGAAACTGCCTTCAATTTGCAGGAGATACCTTATTTTGTTCATCTATAGAGACTCTTTTTCAAATCGTCTATAGGAACTCCCATTAGTTCGTCCCTAGAGACCCCCTTCAGTTCGTCTATAGGGACGCCTTTGAACATATCCACGGAGATTACCATAAGGTGGTCTTTATACACTTTCGTCGATAGTAGTGACTTTCTTCAGCTCGTAAGATGGCAGTGACTGTCTTCACCGCATCTACAATAGTGACTATCTTCAGCTCATCTATAGTAGAAACCCCCTTCAGCTCGTTAATAGTAGAGACTATCGTCGAGCTAAATGGAGTTGATAGTAGTGACCCCCTTCTCGTTGATAGTAGTGACCCTCTTCTTAAGCTCATCGATATTAGTGACCCCTTCAGCTCGTCTATAGTAACTTCAGCTCGTTAAGAATATATCGCCATCAGCTCGTAAATAGTAGAGACGACCTTCAGCTCGTAGATAGCAGTTACTCCCTTCAGATCATCTATAGTAGAGACCCCCTTCAGCTTATTGATAGCAGCGACTCCCTTTAGTTCGTCGATAGCAGTGACCCATCAGTTCGTCAATAGTAGTGACCCTCATAATTAGTGACTACCTTCAGGTCGTCGATAGCAGGCACTCCCTTCAGCTCATCTATATTAGGGACCCTCTTCAGCTTGTCGATAGTAGCAAATCCTTTCAGATCTTTAATAGTAGCGACTCCCTTCAGTTCGTCGATAGTAGTGACTACCTTCAGCTCGTCTTTAGAAAAATACCTCTCAATTGAGTCTGAATTTTATTTCTATAGAAAAAAATGTATATGTTTTCTTTATCTCCCCTTTGTTTCTATCTCTGTCATTACGGTAGCTGTTTAATTCTTCTGTTATAAATTAAGCTTCCCCCCACCTCCCTATCGACTTCAATTTCAATCAGCTTGTAATCGCTTTATCTTTGATCGTTTATCAGTAGCTTGATTTGTGTGTTCGGAAAACAATATCTGTGTGGTGGATTGGAGGTATGGGGACGTGACGACTACCAGTTTGCACCTGCTAAAATTACAAGGGTCCGTCCATCACATCATGGATTCCTCCTTTTTATGTCCTCTCAAATCAAGTTGGAAATCTGTTTTTAAAATTACACAAGAAAACAAAAAAGAAATTGAAACTGAATGCAAAAATCGTCAATGCAAAAAAATGCAAGGCGACATAAACAAGAAACCTGAAAACTTAAAACGTCAACGACAGCGCACACAAAAGAAAATGTGAATGACGTGAAGGAATAAAAGGAAGGGAGACAAAAAAAACGAAAAACGACAGCATATTCTTTTTCGAAGAACAATAATAAATGTTAAACAGCTTATCATGTCCTGAAAGGAGGAGACAGGGCAGGAAGTGAGGTAGGGAGTAAAACGACAGGAATAAAACACAAAGGAAGCCATGGACAATAAGACAAGGTTTTATAGTTGGCAAGAAAGAAACAAGTTTACAATTTCGTGGCCAATTTTGTGTGACAATCTTCAGCAGAGGCAGAATGGCTCCGCCAAAGATGCTGCTGTGGCTGTCACTATCGTGGCCAAGTTGTCTTTCTGTTTTAGCCTCAGCAAAAAGAAACTGAAACTGAATTAAGTTGGCCAGCAGCAACCAGCCGAGGAAGAATAAATAAAGAAATCCAATGAAAATAAAAACGCCAGCCCAAAGCAACGAAAATGCCAAAACGGATGCTGAGGATTCGTCGTCGTCGTCTTCGTTCTTCATTCTTCGTTGCACACCACCAGTTGCTCTGCGACAAATGCCACTCAAAGAAGTGGCGGCCGGCCGGGAGTTGAATGTAAATCCTGGCATTAACAACCCCAATGGAGACAGACAGACACACAGACAAACATTATGGCCACCATAAATTGTAGTAACTCGAGGGGGGGAGCTGCGGGACAGAGGGAACAACAATTGTCTTATTGTCTTGCCGAATACACAATGGTCGGCCAACCTCCTCACGTACAACTTAAAGCAGATGATGCAGTCAGGCAATCATCATCCATTTGAGAGTGGCCATAATCATCGGCATCTGAATCAACATCATTATCCTTATCATCATCCTCATCATCGTTCTGATGATGACGATGATTATCGTCATCATTTTCCTCCTCATCATAATGGTATGTTGCATATGCGTGTTGCAATGCTGTTGTTACCACTTCGTTCATGATTGCATCATAGCCAGGCAGGCAAGCGGCCGGGCAGGCATTCAGTCAGCAAGTGCCTAACTGGCTGGAAGGCAACAATCTCCTGGATGGCTGGCATCTTCCAACACGTTTTCCCCTCTACTCTCTCCTTCATTTTTTTGAAAAATTTTTACTGCGCTAAGTCGTTGTTGACAACACTAGCCAGAGTCAATTATTGGTGGAACGAGAAGCAGCAGCAGGAGGATGAGCCATGTTTTCTGGCCAATAATGATGACGATTGTGATGATACCTTTATGAGGCTTTGGAGTTATTTTTTATCTCCTTTTTCCACTTCTTTTTTGTTTTGAGTTCACAAATTGATGATGAAGCTTCAGCTGCCGAGGTGTGATGATGTTGATTGCCAAAACTGACTGGCTGACTGACAGACAGACAGACATTCGGACAAATGAAGCAGAAACGGCCGAACCTTGGGGAACAAAATTAAAGGCTTGGTACCTTTTCTCTGATGACAATAAGGAAATAATTATTTACTGATGAGATATTACGTGCGGGATTGCGGATCAATGAGGGGTAAAACTGGTCAGGAAAAATATTTGGAGACAGTCACTACTATCTACGAGCTGAACGGAGTCTCAACTATAGATGAACTGAAGGGGATCTCTACTATAGATGAGCCTAGGGGAGTCTCTACTATAGATGACCTAAAAGGATTTTCTACTATCTACGAGCTGAAGTAGGTCTCTACAATACATGAGCTGAATGAAATCTCTACTATAGATGAGCTGAAGGGGGTATCTACTATTGACGAGCTGAAAGGGGTGTAGATGAGTTGAGGGTGGTATCTACTATAAATGAACTGAAGGGGGTCTCTACTAACTACGAGCTGATATTAACGAGCTGAAGGCGGTCACTACTATAGATGAGCTGAAGGGAGTCTTTAGTATAGACGAGCTGAAGGCAGTCACTTCTATAGATGAGATGAATGGAGTCTCTACTATCTACGCGCTGAAGGGAGTCTCTACTATAGATGGGTTGAAGGGAGTCACTACTAACTACTAGCTGAAGGGGTTCTCTACTAAAGACTAAAGGGGGTCTCCAAAATGGAGAGTATTCGTGCATAAACAGAATGTGTATCTATAGGCGACAAAATCCGCAATAGATTTTCAAGTATAGAAAATCGGGATCTCAGCTACGTCTGAGGCTATTTTTTTCTATACATAAAAATCGAGGCCTCAGCTACGTCTCAGTTTCGACAGTGGCTATTTTATCGTATAGAAAAACATTCGGAAGCCCCAGCTTCGTCTGAAACTATTTTTTCGTATAGGAAAAAATTGGGACCTCAGCTATGTCTGAGGCTATGGTTTTGGATAGAAAAAAAATTCAGCACATCAACTTCGTCTGAGGCTATTATTTCGTGTAAAAAAAAATCACGACCTCAGCTCTATCTGAGGTTACTTTTTTCGTACAGAAAAAATCGGGTCTTCAGCGTCATGGGAGTCTATTTTTTTTCTTATAAAAAGAAATCGGACCCTCAGCTTCACCTGATGCTATTTTTACGTATAGAAAAAAATCGGCACCTCAGCGTCACGGGAGTCAATTTTTTTCTTATAAAAAATCTTTCTTATAGAAAAATGTTTCTTTTAAAAAAAATTGGCCCTCAGCTTCGTCTGAGGCTATTTTCCCGTATAGAGAAAAAATCGGAGACTTAGCTTCATCAGAAACTATATAGAAAAAATCCGTGCCTCAGCTTCCTCTGAGACTATTTTTTCATATAAAAAATCGCGGGCCTCTGAGGCTATATTTTTGAATAGAAAAACATCGTCTGAGCAATTTTTTCTATAGAAAAAAATCTCGGATCCTGAGCTTCGTTAAAGACGCTTATTTTCTATAGAAAATCGGTAATTCAGCTTCATACGAGGCTATTTTTTCATATACAAAACAATTCGCTAGCCTGGGACTATTTTTTTACAGAAAAAAATTAAGAGCTTCAACATCCTCTGAGGCTATTTTTTCGTATAGAAACAAATTCGCGAGCCTCATCTTTGTATGAGGCAATTTTTTCGTATAGAAGAAAATTCGCCAGTCTCAGCTTCCTTTGAGGTTATTTTTCTATAGAAAAAATCGGGGTCGTAACTTCGTCTGAGGCTATTTTGTTATAGAAAAAATTCGGGCTACTTTTTTCTATAGAAAAAATCGTGCCTCCGTTTCTAAGGCTACTTTTTCCTATAGGAAAAAAATCAAGACCTAAGCTTCTGATAAAACAAGGGGTCTTAGATTCTGAAGCTATTTTCCTATTAAAAAAGCGGACCTCAGCTTCTGAGACTATTTTTTCCTCACTAAAAAAAGTACTGACTTTAGCTTCTGAGGCTATTTTTTTCTATGGATTTTTTTTTTTTTTTTGCCCTGATTCTATAGAAAGAAAATCGTGTCTCCGTTTCTGAGGCTACTTTTTTTCTATAGGAAAAAAATTGAGACCTCATCTTCTAACACAATTTTTAATATTTATTTTTTTTTTTTTGTGATAAATATTCTCTATGACTTTTGAGGCTATTTTCCCCATTGAAAAAATGAGGTCTTAGCTTCTGAGGCTGGTTTTTTTCTACGGAATTTTTTGCCCGTAAAAAAATGAGCATCTACTTCGCCTGAGGCTATTTTTAATAAAGAATCTGACGCCAGTTCTTTTTAATATTATTAACCTCCCCTAATATTTGTCTTCCCTTTCTCTTTCCAGGTGACATATTATCTGGCGTCTGTTTTGTTGGCCAATTGGATACCCATTCCCTCGGAGTGTTCCTCATCTTACCCCTCTGCATTTATCTCTCCATCGGAGCCCTATTCCTGCTAGCTGGCTTTATATCACTCTTCCGCATTCGTACCGTTATGAAAACCGATGGGAAGCGGACCGATAAACTCGAACGCTTGATGATGCGTATTGGATTCTTCTCAGGCCTTTTCATCCTACCCGCCTTAGGCTATCTCGGCTGTCTCTTCTATGAATATTATTATTTCGATGAATGGATGGTACAATGGCATCGTGATATATGTCGTCCTTTCTCAATACCTTGCCCCCTGCCAAGGCCAGATGGTTCCGAGTCGAGGCCTATTTTCCAAATTTATATGGTGAAATATTTGTGTTCAATGTTGGTCGGTGTGACATCGAGTGTGTGGTTGTATTCCAGTAAGACTGTGGTAAGTTGGCGTAATTTTGTCGAGAAGCTGCAAGGGAAGGAGACAAGGACAAGGGGGCAGGCGTATGTGTAAAATGGAGGAGGAGGAGGAGAGAAAATTGAATGCAAAAAACAAGGTTCTAGTTTTTAAGGTAATTTAATGATAAGAAATGCCGAAGGGCAGTTTAATGAATAGTGCAGTTTTTTGTTGCTGTTGTAATAATTTGTAAAATATGATGACCCCCTCCCCCACTCACTTACAACACAGCGGGAAATGCAAATGCAAAGTTTCTAACTAGAAGAAAATGAAAAATAACAAACACAAAGCAATTGAGTGCTCAAATTTTAGAGAATAATAATAAAAAAAATAATTTTTTTTTCACTTCACCTATTTTCAATACACGAATAAAAAAATAATATTCGAATGATCACAATATACTCAAGAATTTTAAACACTGAGAAAAAATACGAATAGTTTCAGTTTTCAAAAAGAAATTATCTCAGAAAGGAATTATTTTTAAATTCACTAAAACCAGTTTTCAATTCTCAAATCGTTTGCCAATTTAATTTTCAATAATATTTGAATTTGATGTAGATGGGAGCGTATTAGTAATATTAATTAAAATGTACCAAAAAAAATACCTCGGAAAGTAGGATTGAGTGTATTTCTATTGGAAAAAATAGCATCGAAGGATGCATTTTTTGTATAGAAAATATTGACTAATAGTTAACACAGAGACTAAGGTTGAAAATCAGAGACATGGGAAAAAATAGCTTACTTTCTGGCCTTCATTTATTTCTGCGGCCTGGGACTCCAAATTTAATATTACAATATTCTCAGCGATAGATTTTGATTCCATCTATTAAAAAAGACCTTAACAACATATTTTTTCCATGAAAAAATACCTCAGAAACAGAGTCTATTTTTTCTGGAAGTGGTAGCGTATTAGTAATTTTAATATCCCCAAGGCCACGTGGCGTATAATGTATGCCTGCTTCATTGTTACTTATACGCAACAAACCTCAGAAACTGAGATCGACTTTTTTTCACCAAAATACTGCATTGGAGATGTTTTTTTCTAACGAAAAAAAATAAATATCAGTTCTGAGCTTCGGAACGAAAAAATAAATATCAGTTCTGAGTTTGGAACGTATGAGTAATGTGGCAACTGATATACATCATACGTCATAGGGTATTTCGAATTAAAATTACTAATACGCTACCTCTGCACATAATGAGGAAATTACATTTATTTTTGGATTATTATTTCGATATTTCAGACGGAATTGTGGAATATATTAACATTAGGTAGTTGATGCCAGAGAAAGAAATATTCTACGGAAAATTGTAGTATGCGTCACCGAAGAAACAAAATCTGTAGATATAATAGATGTCACTGAAAAATTAGCACCAAGTTGGTCTCAAAGGCATTTTTCCGAATTTTGATACTTTGGGTGAATCGGTGTATAATTTCCCGATAAAACTTCATTTTAGGCGGTTAATACGAAAGAGTGAAATATTCTTTGTCAAATTTGACTATAGGTCACCGAAGACTCCAAGGCCGTGGTTATAACATGTATCACTGAAAATTGTTACCAAATGTAGGTGAAAATTAATTTGTAATTTTTAGGCTATTTTGGTACTCTGTGCCAATTGATGCAACTGATTACACATATTAAGTGATTGATATTAAAGAAAGAAATGTTCTACGGAAAATTTCACTATAGGTCACCGATGAAACCAAGTCTGTAGATATAATATATATCACTGAAAAATTTAGATCAAAATGGGTTAAAGGTATTATTCCTAATCATGATACTTTGGACGACTAGGTGCTTAATTTTCCCATAAAACTTTATTTTAGGCGGTTGATACTAAAGTGAGAATTATTTTTAATTTAATTTCACTATAGGTCACTGAAGAAACCAACCCTGTAGATGTAGTAGATATCACTGAAAATCGCTACCAAATTTAGCTTAAACATCATTTGTCATTTTTGGGTTATTTTGGTACTTTCGTCGAATTGACACAAATTTTCATCCATTATACTTCAATTTTGGTGATCGATGCTAGTGAATGAAATGTTCTACATGAAATTTCACTCTAGGTTCCCATAGAAACCGAAACCATAGATATGATAGGTGTCCCTGAAATGCCGATTCTACATTGGACTTAGAAAAACAAATTAATTTGGTTTATTTTAGGTATTTTAGGCGATTTGAGGCGCATTTTTTCCATTAAACTTCATTTAAGGTGTTTGATACTAAAGAAGAAAATATACTACATAAAATTTCACTATAGATCGTCGAAGAAACGAAATCTGTAGATATAATAGAAATCACGGAAATATAGATACCAAATTCCGCTAAAAGATAAATTTTCGGATTATTTTGGCAAGTTGGGTGAAAATTTCGCCATTAATCTTCATTTTAGGTGGTTGATGCTAATGAAGGAAATATTGTACATAAAACTTCACTATAGGTCACCGAAAAAATCTTAACGGTAGATATAATAGGAATCGCTAAAATGTCAATACCAAATTCGAGTGATTAGTAAATTTTGGGTTATTTTTTGTACATTGAATGAATTGATGCCGATTTTTTCTATTAAACTTGATTCTAGGGGGTTGATGTCAGTGAACGAAATATTCTACACCAAATTTCACTATTGGTCACCGAAGAAACCAAGTCTATAAACTTAAATGATATCACTGAAAAGTTTTCACTAATTTGGATTTAAATCATATTTTTCAATTTTGGATTAATTTTGTATTTTAGTCGAAATTTTCTATAAAACTCCATTTTACGTTCTTGATACCAAAGAATTAAATATTATACATAAAAATTCACTACAGGTCAATGAAGAACGAAAATCTGTAGGTGTGATAGATATCACAGAAAAAGCTTTAATAAAATGAGTTCATTTTTCGAGCATGGGGTGCGTATTAGTGTTCTTAATTCCCAATGACCTCCCTGGCGTATGATGTACAGCTGTTGTGATGTTACTTATACGCTCCAATATTTCGTTCTAGATGGTTGATGTCAATGAACGAAATATTCTACACAAAATTTCACTATGGGTCACCGAAGAAACCAAGTCTGTAAATTTAATTGATATCACTGAAAAGTTTTCACTAATTTGGAATTAAATCATATTTTTCAATTTTGGATTAATTTTGTATTTTAATAGAAATTTTTCATAAAACCCCATTTTATGTACTTGTTACCAAAGAACGAAATATTCTACACAAAATTTCACTATGGGTCACCGAAGAAACGAAATATGTAGCTATGATAGATATCTGTGAAAAATCGATAACAAATTGGGTTGATTTTCGTATACAGGGTGCGTATTAGTATTATTAATTCACAGACCTCCCTGGCGTATGATGTATACCTGTTGTGATGTTACTTATACGCTCCAATATTTACATCGAACTTCGTTCTAGATGGTTGATATCAATGAATGAAATATTCTACACAAAAATTCACTATGGGTCACAGAAGAAATGAAATCTGTGGATGCAACATATATCATTGAAAAATCAATGATAATTTGGGATAATCAAAAAATTTTACATTTTGGTTTCATTTTGCATTTTGGGCGAAAATTCCCCTAAAATGTCATTTTAGGTCTTGATACCAAAGAACGAAATATTCTACACAAAATTTCACAAAAGGTCACCGAAGAACGAAAATCTGTAGCTATGATAGATGTCGGTGAAAAATCGATAACAAATTGGATTCATTTTCGTATACAGGGTACGTATTAGTATTATTAATTCTCAATGACCTCCCTGGCGTATGATGTATGATATTACTTATACGCTCCAATATTAATATTATTTAAATTAGATTTTTCGATGTGTTTGAACAGCGAATTGATATTGAAAACTGGAAATAATTTTTCTCAATGTCGCTTTTATTTCATTAAAATTATTTCCTTCTAAATTATATATATTAAACATATTTTATTTAAGTTTAACATGAGTACAGCCAAAGTTTTAATTTAATTGTAAAATGTTAAAAGAAAAAAATTACAAAAAACACAACAACAAATATTTATATTTAAAAGCAAAATTCAAATATTTAGAACTACTTGTTAGGAGAGGTCAAAAGGGAAATTTTCAGAACATAAAAAAATTAATCTATTATGTAGGATTTTCAAAACAAAACAAGGCATAAAATAAATATCAATAGTATTTTTTATTAAAAACTTTGGTTGAAATTCTCCAGAATTCGTTCTTTTTAATTTTTCAAGTATCAAGTATGAAAAAATATTGAATATCGGAATCTTGAAACAAAAATTTCCCTTGACCTTTAAATTAACTTTCGTTCTGAAATATTTCCCTTCGCCTTCAGCGTAAATGTGAGTCAACTAACATTAATATTAAGTTTAAATTCTTAAAATTTTCTGTTTTAGAATCGCTAACTTAAGTTTAGTATTTCTTTTCTGTAAATAGTTATTAGCTTTAAGTTAATTATTATATTATATATTTGACAAATGTAATATTTTTTCTGCTCTTTGTTCTCCAATTGAGTCCTCTATACATTAAGGCTTAAATATTAAGTTTTTTTTATAAATAATTAGCAACGAAACAAAAAATATAAATTTAAATAACTATACAAAGAAATAACAAAATTTTGTTAATATTTTCTGCTAAAAATATAATTTAAAATTAATTTTAAAAATAGATTTTTAAATAACTACGCAAAGTAGTACACAATATTTTGTTAATAATTTTTCTGCCTACCAATTTAATTTACAATTAATTTTTAGAATAGAGTTCTTTTTGTTTATAAGTTATGAAAAAAAAGCTTTATATGTGCCGATTTATTTTTTATGTTTAAAATTTTGTTTAATGTTTATAAAATTAAATAATTCTTCTACGATGACAAAAATATGCAACTGATAATGAAAGAAAATGTTTGGGAAATTGAAAAGAAACAAAAAAAAAACTAAGGAAAAGTTGTTGAGATATTTAGGAAAATTTTTCCAGAATTGTTTCCTATATCAGGCTTCATATTGTGTAAAAAATTCAGATGATTATATCATACACACTCTAATTGAGACCCTGCAAAAAGTCCAATGTACTT